GCTTTAATCCTAGTGAGTACTGGCTGCCTTATTCGATAGCCTTATTCGATAGCTGTGTGTCCGCGCGCGAGCTATCGAAAAGGTTGGCCAGCGCTATACTATTGAGTACAGGCTGCCTTATTCGATAGCTGTGTGTCCGCGCGCGAGCTATCGAAAAGGTTGGTACACGCTTCATTGATCACACCTGCTTGAACACGGTTGGTCAGTTGGTATACGCTTCAGTGATTTCTGGCCACGCCTACCAGCCTGCCACACGCTGAAACCCACGTGGACCAACCTTTTTGATAGGGTCATCTAGGGTCCTTATATACAAAGAGTTGCGACAACCCAGGATTTGACGCCATATTGTTTCCAAATGGATCCACACCGCTGCCGCTCAAGTACAGCGCTGTATGGATACGCTGTACAATGGTCCGTAGTAATTAATTAGACGAATCGTTATTCAATAAACTCAAAATTGACACATATTATAGCTAAGACATGTGTCTATGTGTATCTGGATTTCTAGAAATGTAACTCAAATCGTTCGCGCCATATGATGTTTAATTGTACACTTTCTTACCGCCCATAGCCGTGCGTATATTAGCCTGTGCGATACCGCGCGTAGATACTTGCTATAATTAATTAAACCACTCGCGCTTCAATAAACTCAAGAATCACAGAGATCATAGATAACACACGTGTACTTGCACACGCACGCACACACTCATGCACGCACGTGTACGTGCACACGCACGCATGCACGCACGCACGCACGTCTACGTGCACATGCATGCACGCACTCACGCACGTGTACCTGCACACACACGTACGTACGCACGCACGCACGCACGTGTACGTGCACACCCACGGACGCGCGCACGCACGCACGTGTACTTGCACGCGCCCGCACGCACGCACGCACGCACGTATACGTGCACACGCACACACGCACGCACACACGCACGTGTAGGTACACACGCACGCACGCACGCAACATATGGCGCGAACGAGTTGAGTTAAGTTTCTAGAAACGTAGATACATATAAACACGTGTTATCTATGATCTCTGTGATTCTTGAGTTTATTGAAGCACGAGTGGTTTAATTAATTAGCAAGTATCTACGCGCGGTATCGCACAGGCTAATATACGCACGGCTATGGGCGGTAAAAAAGTGTACAATTAAACTATCATAATATTATTATGGCGCGAACGATTTGAGTTACATTTCTAGAAATCTAGATACATATAAACACATGTGTTATCTATGATCTCTGTGATTCTTGAGTTTATTGAAGCGCGAGTGGTTTAATTAATTATAACAAGTATCTACGGGCGGTATCGCACAGGCTAATATACGCACGGCTATGGGCGGTAAGAAAATGTATAATTAAACTATCATATGGCGCGAACGATTTGAGTAACATTTCTAAAAATATAGATACACATAGACACATGTCTTAGCTATAATTTCTGTGAATTTTGAGTTTATTGAAGCACAATTAGTCTAATTAATTACTACGGACCATTGTACAGCGTATCCATACAGCGCTGTACTTGAGCGGCAGCGGAGTGGATCCATTTGGAAACAACATGGCGTCCAGCGATCACGTAACCGATTTTTTCCGACTCGTCATGTCGCAACTCTTTGTATATAGGGACCCTAGGGTAATCTTTCTGCATGCGACACCTGGCCTACGCGATTTTGGCCGAGCTGCTATTTGCAAAACAAAAGGCGATCGCTACACTCAACTCTCACGCGATTACAACTACGGCGCTGATTTCTACCAACTTCCTTCACTCGCGGCTGCTATACACTGCTGCGTGTGCGGGTTGTCTGTAGGCCAGTCTTCTCTAATGAAAGAGCATGCGGCACAGGCGTGATGCTTGGCGCACAACGTCGCTGCGGACTGCACGCCTGTAGAAAGCAAAAGCTACAATCTAACTATAGCGAAGCAACGGCGAGCTCTACCTCCCCGGCAGTCATTCCGCTCCAATCACGATTTCACGGGAAAACCGGAAGCGCCGCGGACCGGAACCGGTTGTATCACGACAGCGTGCTAGTCGAGGTCGCGTCCTAGCGCATGGCGACGCTGACGCTGACGATGACGCTGACGATGACGCTGATACGTCGCGTCATTATTGCAGGTTTTCTACGCGTGTATCCTGCACAGTGCGCCCTCTGTGTATATATCTCATACCGCAAGATAAATACCCGCGCGTACGGTATTGTGCATAGTACGGCTGGCTACCTGTCTTGTTCCGCCGGCTATCACTCTCTAAACCTTCTACGCCAGCAGCTCTGCAAATCCTATATACCACAAACAGTCATAGATAACAGACGATGTATAAAACACTAGAATTATTATCATCAAGAGCATATAAGGAAGCTTCTTTATATGCTCTTGTTATCATGAATCTACGACCTGCTCCAGTTGTCGCAGCCGACACATCACGTGATGACCTGCACGCAGACCTAGACATTCTATCAGCTTCTTGCGGTTATTATGAGGAGAGAAAAGCGCGACCACTCTCCCAGCTTTCTACTGCTACTGCACCCCCTCCCCCTTTTCTTCTTCTTCTTCTTCTTCGACTTTCTCCTCTTCCTCTTCCTTCTCCAAGATACGTTATATTGCTGCAAATAGTACTAATACAGCTGCTACTGTTGCTGCTGCCGTTGCTGGCTGCTGTGGCTGCCGTTGCACTTAGGCCTACTACTGCTACTGCTACCGCTACTGCTACCGCTACTGCTGCTGCTGCTACTGCTATTGCTGCTACTGCTACTGCTACTGCTACCGCTACTGCTGCTGCTGCTACTGCTATTGCTGCTACTGCTACTGCTACCGCTACTGCTGCTGCTGCTACTGCTGCTGCTGCTACTGCTATTGCTGCTACTGCTACTGCTACCGCTACTGCTGCTGCTGCTACTGCTATTGCT